GCTTCCTCTCCATTTCAATAAGGTGACATATTTGACACCGACCCAAAGGGTTTCACCTGAGGGACTCAACAGGACACTGCCAAATCCTGCTCATTAGCAAAGAGACCGTCAGAAAGCAAAAGCACAGTCATGAAAAAAAGCCTTCGTATGCTCCCCCCTAGACCAGGCAGAAGTGAAGAAGCATAAAAGTGCATTCTCATCCTGTGCCAAGTCTCCTCCAAAGGCCCGTCTGCTTCTGCACTAGCATTTCAGAGGGGCAAACTGAAAAACACCCTTCCCCCCAAAGCCACCCAAGACTCCTTGGCAGCACAGGGGAAAAAAAAAAATAAATCAAAGAAGTAAAAATCCCACAGAACTAACTCACCCCTAGGTTCGTTTGCATGTGCAGTGGCCTGTAAGTTTAATATTAAATTCTACACAGCAGCCAAAACCTAGAAGAGTTACATATTTTCTACACCCAGCTGCGTGTGATGGAGAATTCAGGTTCCCAAGAGGTAAATAAAGTTCCCATGTTTTCCCCTGAGGATTTCTCTGATGGAAAGAACCTTCCTACAGGCATCTGCTGTCAACAGTTTTTAATTGATCATCATTACCTTGTAATAATAATTCCTGGGAGCAGGAACTCCTAGTTCAAGTACTCGATTATTAAATTAAGAGGCTGCTTTAAAGATGTGAAATGGCTAGGGCTCGGGTCAGCAGGTAAAAAGAGACATTGCTTCAAGGAGATAGAGGGGAAAAAGATGGGTAGGAGGCATTTTCCCAGGTGTAACTCAACCGCTTCCCGGCTATTGTTTCCCTCCCTGGGAATCTGTGCAAATTGAGCAAGGAGCCATGCAAGCTGCTCAGAGCGCGCCCATTTTCCTTCCCTTCTTCCCTAACAAAAGAGCCCTCCAAAGCCCAGCGTCGGAGGCTGGACATCTGTCGCCGTTTGGGGGGGCCAGCGTGGTCATTGAAAAGAAGCAGTGACCTGTCAGCTTTGATTGATGGCCACAAACCTCCGGGCTCGACCCCTCGTGTGGGAAAAGAAGTCCCGCCAAGGAAAGTCCCCTTTCACATGCTAATTCTGGGCTATAAATACAGCAGCGAAGCAGCAGAGCAGCAAAGAGCCTGTTGGGAGCAACCCGCTACCCAAGTGCCTCCTTCCCATCCCGTTCGCCAGGCGCTGGCAGGCTGGATTACGATGACCGCTGCCGCAGCCACCGCCGGCAGCACCCACCAGCTCACCAGCACCAAGGAGGGGAGG